GTCCTATAATAAAACCAACATGTTCAAAGGCTCTGACAAAATAAAATTGTATTTCTTATTCATGTAACAATTCTGGGCAGTAACAGGATATTGGGTAGTTCTCCTTCATGCATTCTGGAGCCCAGGTTGATTGTGGGCAGATCTCTTGGGGGCTATCTGCATTCCACCCAGACAGAAATGGGAAAGAATAAGGAGACATATACATGAGACATGTTTACTTAAAAAATTATTAGAAAATAAAACATATAAAAATCCAAACTCAATAATGTATAGCTTATTGAATTAGTATTATACAAATGTTCTTGTAATCCAAGAAATAGAATTCTGCCAACTTCTCTAGAAGCTCTCTCTACCACCAAACACAGACACAGCCCCTATGTCCCTCAAAAAGTAAAGTATCCTGGCTTTTAGAATAATCATTTTATTATATTTCTTTGTTTTCTCATCCAAATGCATATCTTTAGATGATACAATTTAACCTGCATTGTGGGATATGTCTCTTAGTCTCTCAGAATCTCTTGCATGCCCTTCCATTCCTTTCTTTGACTAATGATCCATATGCCATGGAGCCTAGGTTGTTTGCAAGTTTTCTGATTTGGGTTTTTCCGATTGGATGTGCAATTCTGGATGCTATTCTGTCCTCTGTATTTTCTGCATATCGCCAAAAGCATCCAGGTTTCAAATTTCATCCCTTTGACAAGATCACATTGGGGATTGTGCCATTTTTGTAGAAGGCATATTCTGATCATCCCATTTTTGTGAAGTTCTCAACCACTAATATCCATTGCCTAGATTTATTACTTCATTGGGGATTGCAAAATCGTGATTTTATAATTTTATCTTTTTTTTCACATATTGGAAAGAATAAGTTCATAAACAAATCTTTTCCTCATTATCCAGAATTCCCATGTCGACAGGAAAGGCTGGACATGTTCTTTATGCTTTCAAGATAAATGACATGGATTTTTGTCACTTGTCATCTTCTGAAGGTGACCAATTAATTTTTCTCTCTTTTTCTTCTTTAGTCATTATAAACTCATGAATTAAATCATATTTGGTGAGTTTTAATCCACTGAAAATTTAACCTTTTGTAAAGCCCCTCTTTGGCTTGTGGGAGTCCCTTGGTTGTTTTCACAAGACCTTAGAATTCTGATAGCTCTTTGCTATTTGATATGACAAGCTAGTTCAGGGTTTCTAGTGTATTCCCAGCCTCCGAGTACCTGGAATCAGCCATTTCTCCAGGAAGCTCTGGTTTCTCAGTGTGTAAAATTGTACTTTGAAATGTTCATCACTACTAGGCTGGCCACTGTTGGCAGGCTGTTTCATTGGACAAAACTGAGAAAGAGTCTGCAAGTGTTTTCAATTTTAAAATCCCATGTATTCAAATGTTGGCAAGATATGGAGAGAAAGAAAGCCTTCAACACTCTCGGTGGGAATGTAAATTGGTAGAGTCATTATAGAACACAATATGGAGGTTCCTCAAAAAATTAAGAATAGAACTACTATTTAATTCAGCAATCCCACTTCTAGGTATATATCTGGAAGAAATTAAATCAGTATCTTAGATATCTTCACTCCCTGGTTCACTGCAGCATATTCTTTTATATTCTATTCTCTTTCTCCTCCCATTTTTACAGTGTTGTAATGTCTTCATTACATCGTCATAGTGTACAGACATTCCATACTGAACTCTTGAATTTAGCCATTATTTATTCTTAGTTCTTTAAATAAGTGTATATCTAATGCTTACTGCCAATTCTTGTGTTGAATTTTCTTCTGGTTATTTTGAATCTTAAAATTCATTCTGTAATGCATTTCCCCAGAAAGGCTCATGGGAACAACATCCTCTGGGTTCTTGCATGTTATTATTATTTTTTTCTGTGCTTTATGTCCTTTAAAGGCAGTTTTGCCAGCTATAAAATTCTTCACTCTCATTTTCTTTCCTTGAGTATCTTAAATACAGTACTCGATTTGCTTTTGACATAAAGCAATTGCTGGGCCAAAAAAAAATATGATGTTGTTTAATTCTCCTTTATAAAACATAGTCTCTATTCACTAAACTTCATAAGGATTATTCTGCCCCCTCCCCATTTTCTTTAGAATCCAGTAGCTTTTTTGGAATATATTTTGGCTGATAGTTATGAGTCATTCTTCTTGAGTACATATGTTATTTCAGAATGTAATATTTTCACGGTGTGTAGTGGCACACGCCTGTAATAGCAGCAACTCGAAAGCTGATGGAGGAGGATCACAAGTTTGAGGTCAGCCTGAACAATTTAGTGAGACCCTTTCTCAAAATAAAAAGGACTGGGGATTTGGATCCATGGTAAAATATACCTAGGTTCAATTCCCAGTACTGCAAGAAAAAAAAAAGAATGTAATATTTAAATGTTTTTAAATTTAAAAGATATCATTTTATTTGAGAAATAATTATGTCATGTCTTTCAAGTATAATGTAATTTTATAGAAGTGCAATATATTTGAAGTGATTAAATCAAGCTAATTATTATCTCCACTATCTTACATACTGAGTTTTTCTGTTTCTATGGTGAGAATATTGGAAATCTACTATTTTTGCAGTTTTGTAGTATATGACACATTATTAGAATGTGGTTTTCAATGTATACATGTGCTCAGGAAAGTTTTCATTGGGTGTAATTGTTAGTTTGTTCTGATTTTTTGTTTTTATTTTCTTCTTCAGGGACCCCTGATAGCCATATATTGAATTTTCTTTGCCTGTCTTTAAGATTTGTCAACCTTTCTGTTCTTTGTTTGTTTGTTTTTCATTTCTTTTGGATTTATTTATGTTTTCTCCTTTATTTATCTTAAGCCAATTGTGGCTGTTTGTTTTTGTTCAAACTTTTTAAAAATGATTATTCATTCATTCATAATTCTTCCTTGAGTTTTAAGATCTATTCTCAGTGTTTCTTTCTGTGCTTTATGTTGTTCATTTGTACATCTTTTCATAACAGTTCTTTAATTAAAAGGTCAGTCTGGACAATTTAGTGAGAACCTTTCTTAAAATAAAAAGGGCTGGGGATATGGTTCCATGGTAAAACATACCTGGGTCCAATTCTTTAATTAATTTGAATAGTTACAGTTTTTAGTCTATTTTATGGGCATTTTAATAGATTATTCCATTTTGTAGGTATGCTTTCAACGTGTATAGGGAAATGATATTTCTTATTCTCATTTTTCTTATAACTTTGTATGAAATTTAACCTTGGTTTTTAATTTGCTTACATTTGTGAACATAATATTTTTGAAAGTTTAAAATGTACTAAGCTTGATATACTTGCTGTTCTAGCATCACAGAGCTCTCACTTCTATTATTTTTGTATGGAGAGTAAAAAATAAGGTGGCTTGATTGGGGAGATGTGCTCATATCCCTACTTGATAAATTTTTTTTCTTTGTTTTCTCTGCCAAGTTCGTTTCATATAAAATATTATATAAAATTATATATATGGCTGTTGATGGACCTTTATTTTATTCACTTATTTATATACGGTGCTGAGACTTGAACCCAGAGCCTCATATATGCTAGGCAAGCACTCTACCACAGAGCCACTGAGCCATAACTCCAATCCCCAAGTTCATTTCTGATTCCACTTCCAATATGAGTCCTGCCCCAGAAGACAGCCAGGGCAGCTTAGTTTCAATTGTTTGGGTCTCTGTCTCTTTCAAAACTTCTCACTGTAGGTTGTCCCTTGTCACCCTATGATTGTAGGTAAGTTTTCTAACTTGCCTAAGTACCAGCTTGTTTATTTGACAAACTGCTTAAGAATATTCCCTATGTTATAGTGTTAGTGTAGGAATCAATGATATAATCTGTAGTGCTCTTAACTGAGTGTTTGGCATAGCACATATACCCTAAAAAAATATGAGCTCACCAATAACAAACATTATTCCCAGGCAGTAGTATAATACATTTTATCAAAGGAGTAACTATGTAAGATTAACTCTACATGGGCTTTATTATATTTTATACGATGAAGTGTCACATTTAGTTCAGAGTTAAACTAAACCATCTTATGCACAAACATATCTATACCTGATGATAATTAATATAAAAGGAATTTAAGTTTATTCATAGTTCTCCTTCTGACCAATAACAAATACATATATATATATATATATATATATATTACCTTATCAAAGATTTACCTGCATATACCTGGATAGCTATAGTAGTTTGGAAAACATACATATTTTTTACCATTTTCTTTTTGCTTATTTTTAATTGTATTTCATATACATTCAGATATTTATGAGTGAAATAGCATCAAGATGATTGTTTAGGACAGTTTTATTTTATTTTCATGCAACTGCCCTGCTTCTTATTTTAACAATGTGGGAATGATGTATAATTATGCGTTGTTGGAAGATTTGGGTTTGTTTATACTTATTACCTTGAAGAACTATTGTGGGTTTTTCTTTCTGGAGCATAGCAACTATATCACCATAGCATCTGGGCAGAAACACTTTTTGAGATTGCTAGATGTTTCCTGTTTCTACTCCTGTGAAGCATAAAAGCTGGGTCTAGAAAGGGCAGGAGACTGCATTGTGGTAAAGGATTAGGAGTGGCTTCAAGGTTCAGTTCTTCATCCAAATTTCTTCCCACTGGCTGGTTGATGGCTACCTTGCTCCTTTTCTAAGAAGTCTGAGTTCTTGAACTATATGTGTTATGATTTCAGACTTTATTGGGTCAATTCACACATGGACACCCATCCACCATCATTGTGTTTTTCTTTGATGCCATAGCACTGGGAAAATTAAAAAGAAAGAGTTGGAACATTATTTATTTTATTTGTTTATTTTTATGTGGTGCTAAGGATCGAACCCAGTGTCTCACATGTGCTAGGCTAGCGCTCTGCCACCGAGCAACATCCCCAGCCCTGGAATATTATTTACATAGTAATGAGATGGATAATAGTTTAGGGGAAAAAAATCAAAATTCTGTCCCTTAATTGTATATCTTTTGTTTTTGTTTTAAATGTAGCTTCGGAAAGCAGTGATGGATCACATATCTGATTCTTTCTTGGAAACCAATGTCCCTTTGTTGGTTCTCATTGAAGCTGCAAAGAGTGGGAATGAAAAGGAAGTGAAGGAATATGCCCAGGTTTTCCGTGAACATGCCAACAAGCTGGTGGAGGTAAGTCTGGAGAGCTCGTGGACTGGAGTTGATTGACATGTGGTACATATGATATAAAGTTGATCTCTACATGTGCCTTGGAGATTTTCAGTAGACAGATCTTCTTCTACAGTTTTCTTACAAAAATAACATACCAAAAACTTGGTTTCCTTTACCTTCTGATTACTATACCCCTTTCCAAGGACATAGGTTATTAGTAATCTTACCTCTCTGTAGCTCATAACTCTAATCTTGCTGTGAAACATATGTAACAATTTTCCTGAACAATAGGCAGAGGTAGAAACTGAAGGTGAATTCATTCTTCCAAATGCTGAATGCCTGGTTTGATTTGAAGGAGAATTCAAACTGCCAAATGGAGGCAGGGCAAGCTGTTCCTATTTCTTACTCCTTATTTCCCTCTCCACTCACGGAGAAGTGAAGCCGATTAGCTGGCCCCTACTGTGACTATGTGGGAAAAAACAAAGAAACAAACAAACCCAAAACCCACTTCTCTCAAATAGATGTTTGGATTCTTGGCAAAAGATCTTGGGGCAGTACTAGTGCTAGTTCAGGGTCAGAAGTATATTTTATGTGTTCGGGAAATCTGTGGGAGTTGCTTCTTAAAAGCAAAATTGTACTGTGTCAAAGAGTCAAAAGAATATCATACAAGGGAAATGATAACTAGGCTGCTTGTATTTAGAAGCTGAATGCCAACAGCTTTGTACAGGTGGGATTAATGATGTGAGGCTAAATAGAAAATAGAGATGTTAAACAGCAAAATGTGTGTGTGACCAAAAAAAAAAAAAAAAAAAAGAGAGATAAGGAGCGGTGGGGAGCCTGGCAAATCTAGGGAATGATTTTAAGACCAGGTTAAAACTTTTACAGGTTCTGAGTACTTGACACTATCACTATTTCTGTGGTGAATCTCACTTTGATTCATAATAAAATAAAGTCACTCAAAATGATAATTTGCATTCAAGTTGAAATGAAAATAAACTTCTCTTGTTTTCTTTGGGTAGCAAAGTTCAGTTCTTAATAATGCATTTCATTAGATATAAAATCCTCTCTGTTTTTCTTGGAATGGGTTATTAGAGTGGGGGCTCTATTTAGTTGTACCCCAAACACCTGCTGAATTTGCTCTAGCTAATCCAGCACTGCTGGTGCTGGTGCAGCTGAAGACACCCAGCCAACAGGAAGGCTTACATCAAATCCAGAGTCCTATACCAAGTCCCTTTGTCCCCAGGACCAGGTTGACTCGTCCCAGGTGACATCAGTGGGAATTTCTATGTGCCAATTTTAATCCACAGTAATGGAGCCCCCTGAATTTCCTACCATAACCCAATATCTCAGGATAACCTGCCTAGAGCTTAATATGGGTGGATACTTATAATATCAAGAGTCTTTCTGGCTCTTTCTCCATCCATAAGGCAAGCATTCCATCACATTTCACATTCTGCCAACATGATTCAGACATTCACTTGTCTATTGGAAAACCCAGAGCCTTTCCCAAGGATGACCTTGAAAGCTTTGACCACTTCCATGTTTTGAGAAGAAGAAGGTACAGAAAGAGCAGGTTGGGGTCAGGGGAGAGAAGAGGATGAGGAAAAAAAAAAAAGTAATGCCAAATGACAAAGTAATAATTATTCACATGTAATAAAATAATATTAGCTGATCAATATACCATATACCATCTCATCTATAGAATTACCTTTTTATAAAACAATTGCAGAAATTATAGAAGTGCTAATAAGTGGTGTGTTATAGGCACTGTGGAAAAGAAAACGAACAAAGAACTTTCAATTTTGTGATAAGCATCTACTTTCATTATCATCAGTGAATTTTCTGAAACTCTCTGGGTAGCCTTAATCACATATTTGAAATTTTAACTTGATGCTCTGTACAAAAATACAAGGTCAGGGTCAAAGAGCCACCTCTTGTTCTCATTCTCCCTTCTCCTGCAGTAGACCCTGGTCTCATCCACTATTTTCCTTATTCCATTTCTAGGCCCTACTAGTAGTAAGTGAATCCAGCCACTGGGGGTGATCTTGGATTCTCACCTTGTGGCAGAAGCAGAAATCTCAGGTCAGCCAAAGCCCACATTCAAGAAAATTGTCCCTTTCAGTTCTTTGTTTCATTGCATCATTTTGGAATGTCCCCATGTCCAAGGAAAAGCAGGAACTAGTGTGTGAACTGGGTTCTGTTTGGCCCAAGAGTTTATGTTCTTCAGATAGGTTCTGCATTGCTGGTGCAATATATGCCAAAAACTTTGAAATTCTGGGACAAGTGTGTTACCCTTTTTCTACTTTTTGAAAAGTGTTTTTGTGGACTTGGGTACCATTCTGAGGTGTTTTTTTTTTTTTTTAATGACAGTTTCTGTGTCTATAATATGAAAAATGTGCATGATGTATTGACTATTGGCCTTGATTCATTTACTTATTAATTCTGAAAGCTTGCCTTTTAAACAGTCTTCAGATTTTCAAATTTTCAAATTATGAAAGCATCATTTCTCCTTTGTAAATCCTTATATCCTGCTTTTGCCTTTCTTTATTGTACTAGCTAAGGCCTCTAGTACAATATTGTGTAAATAGAAATTTTTATTTTCAGATCTTAGTGAGAAAATTTCACTATTTTACCATTAATTATATGATTTTCTCCAGATTTAGTGCAGACAAGTTAGTTCTATTACTCATTGGCTAGGAGGGTTTTTTTGTTTGTTTGTTTTTGTTTTTAAGTTTTGAGTAAATGTAGAATTGTGTCAACATCTTTCTATATTTTTGAAGATAATAAGTTTTCTTAATTCTTCACAGTTATTAGTATCAAAGTTATGCTTTTCCTCAAAAAATAATTTGGAATTATTCCTTCTTTCTATTTTTTGCAAGTGAATGTGTGAATCTGGAATTATTTATTTATTTTTTTAAATATCTGGAGGTCTTCACTAATAAAGCAAAGTGAGCCTGGAGATTTATTTGAAGAAAGGTGTAAAAACATAAGACTATTTAAATTTTTTATTTCTTTGGGGGTCAACTTTGTTTTATACCAGGAATTTTTCATTTTATTTAATTTTCTAATGTAAGTCAGAAAGTTGCCTATACTAACCTAATAATTTTTATTTAATGTGTAGAGATCTGTGTTTCTATTTCTTTCTTTTACTCTTCACATTGCTAAATGGTGTCTTTTCTCTTTTCTTGATTAGTTTTTCAAGTGGTTTATAAATTTATTCATATTATCTAAAAACTGAGCTTTCATTTTTTGCAGATTTTATCTTCTATTTTATTTATTTCTGTTCTTATCTTTACATTTCTTTTTTCTGCTTTTTCCCAGTATAACTTGCTGTTCATTTTCTAAATTATTGAAATGGATGATCACATCATTGATTTTCATTTTGCCTTCTTTATTTTAGTAATAAATGCATTTAAGTCTATCAATTTCATGCTTAAGTCTGATTATTTTCTACTGACCTAATTTTTAGCTCACTCATCCATCTGTGTTCAATATAGTTGAAACCTATCTATTGAGTTCTTCTTTTTTTCCCCCAAGAATTTCTAGTTGGTCTTTCTCCTCATCCTTCTGAAATAATTCCAGTTCTCTAGCAGAATTCATTATCAATTATCTCCTTTAAATATATTAATCACATTTATTTAAAAATAATTAATTTTCCCTCATCTCCAGCATCCTGCTAACTCAGATAAATACTCTCAGCCTGAGCCTGTACATATGACCTCTTCTTTAAAACAAGGATTTCAGGGTCCCTTAAGGCCCTAACCACCCCACATGTGACATCCATTTCCTGCTTATTCAAAGCAAAATACAGAGAAAATGAAGCAGTAAAGAATGCCCTTCTGGCTTTTCCTCCTTTTCTATGACCACAGGACCCTGTCACAGAGGGTTTCCCCACCTTAGCCAAAGAACTCCAATATTTAGATAAAAGTGTTTCTGTTTTGTGCTGGCCACAAGACAGGGCAAAGCCCACATCCCCAGAGTTGCGCTGGATACTGGTGCTAAGAATGCATCACATCCACCAAGAGGGCATGAACACATTTTTTTACTCATAACAAGGGACTTTTAGGGGCAGCAGACAGCTAGCATCCACTCCAGTGCTTGATGGTTTGATCAAAGAGAATGAGTGCCTTTGTTTTTTGTCATGTTAGGGTGTGAGACTGTGGTCTGGATTTCCACATGGGGACTAGGATATAAATAGTTTGAATTTCCCTAGTGTCAACCCCTACCTGATGTGGACTTTGCTATGTTCTTGTCCATTTGGAGGTCAAGAGGGGAAAAAATGGAAAGGTGGCACCTAAAAACTGTCAGCAAATATTCAAAGTAGAGTAAGACAGTTAGTTAATAATACCTGTCATATTTCACTGATGACTGAAATGTGCCATGATGTATATGACTGAATTTGTGCTTGTTTAAGTAAACTATTGTGGGACTCTATGAGGCTTTCAAAATGGAGACAGACTTTATTACACTGTCTCGAGTTTATTTGATTTCTCATGATTGTGTTATTTATTTATTTTTTAAATTTTTAATTTGTTTTAATTAGTTATACATGACAGTAGAATGCATTTATGCGCTTTGATATATCATACATAGATAGGATATAATTTCTCATTTTTCTGAGTGTACATGTTGTAGATTCATATTGGTCATGCAGTCCCATATATACATAAAGTAATAATGTCTGTTTCATTCTATTATCCTTCCTATCCCCACATCCCCTCCCTTAACTTCCCTCTACCTAATCTAAGATAAAGCTATTCTTCTCTAGTGCCCCCCACCTTATTATTAATTAGCATCTGCATATTAGAGAAAACATTTGGCCTTTGGTTTTTCTGGATTCGCTTATTTCACTTAGCATGATATTCTCCAATTCATCCATTTACTGGCAGATGCCATAATTTAATTCTTCTTTAACGCTGAGTAATAGTCCATTGAATATATATACCACATTTTCTTTATCCATTCATTTACTGAAGTACACCTAGGTTGGTTCCATAGTTTAGCTATTGTGAATTGAGTTG